AAGAGACTGGATACAGAATTTTAAATAATTTGCTAAACTAATTTTGAAATTCCCAAAATTCACTTGTTAGATCTCTACAAAAAATAAATGGAAACTCTCTGAAAGGCATTAGATTTTGTTCGTTTCATTCTCTTGGTCAATTCTGTTTTCATTCTCACATGTTCAAAGGTAGAACAGTCATATAAAAATAATGGGATTTAGCAGCTCCATTTTGTGTGTTCAAAATATGATTATGCACTCCATGCACAGTAACAAGTGAGGCTGAGGGAGCTTTTGACCAACAGCTCACAATGATATATATCCGTGGAACACCCTGACAGGCACTCTCCCAACTGTCGATTTTATATGCCTGTATCTTGGCCAGCCTCAAGCAGTCAGTATTGGCATAGTTTTTCGTTGTATCCAGAGGGAGTTAGCTCGGATCTGATCTCTTCCTCAATGGAACCACATGAAGTTACACACGGTATAGTAACAATCCTCATTGTGCATAGAGACAGCCAATTATAGTGGGATAACCTCCCTAGCAGATTAATTAGTTAGGCGTTAATCCTTATTGGTATACAACTGCCCTGATGCCTTCAGTAAACGGCTCTTCGAAAGTGAAGTATACATAAGAGACGAAGAAAGGTGCCTTTTTCATTCGTAGCCTTCTAAGTGAGAAATGGAGCTTCAGAATTCTAGAGCTCCAGTAGCGGTGTTGTTTTTATCGGGTGGGATTGCCCTGCATCACACCCAGCCTCCCATTTTTCCAGAGGGTGGATTGTTTAGGAATTCATCGGCAGAGAATAGAATCCCACCTCCAGTGTGTATGGCATCATTACCCTCACTCAGTCAAATTACTTCAGATGGTAGGCAGGAAAATTAAATGAAGAGGAATTTAACTAGCTTGAGGTAGTCATAATCATAATATAGCAGTTCAGTTAATCTTACAATAGTTTTCACTTAAACACTGTTTCATATAAGAGAAAATGCATCTCCCCAGAAATAACTCTACCATAAAACTGTTAATGCTTGCTAGAGGTTGTTGCTTACAAATATTGGTTTTGTAGGGAATTCTTTTTAGATTGGTTGGGGGACTTCATCATCAGCTGACACCAGTTAGAGAACCGTTGGAAAACCTGCAGGGAGTACTGGACAGGTTGAAGGTGAGCACAGTTACTCATCGAAGAAGACATTGCGATGTCGTCGCGCTATGTTATGCATGAATTGGCAGGAGCTAGAATTCATGAGCTGGCCATTGGATTGGGTCCCAGTGGCTAATGAATGGCCTATGAGTTAGCTCACCTTGTAACTGGGAGGTCTTGGGCTGGGACCCTGTGGGTGGGTGTGTACTGCCGAAGAGTCCCAAACTGGAAGTTGTTTTTGTTGTTGAGTTTGTTTTTCACTTTTTGAGAAGGTTTTATTCTTAGCCATGTAAGTGATAAACTCTAAAAAATGTGTTATGATAAATAAACGTAGAATTTATGATACCATCCAGATAAAATGATGAGTTTTCTACTCCTACTACGAATATCAAAGGCATTAACATCTAAGATACTCTTAATGTTCATTTCGCTACCCTACTATAACTTCCCTTTTTTTAAAAGACATTTTAATCCTACTGAATAATTAATTGAAAGTGGTCAAAAAAGACTAGATATCACTCCGATTTCCATGTTCCAAAAAGCAATATAGAAGTTTCTCTTTTTCAAAATAGGCAATTATCATCAGACAACATTCTATATCTGCTTTAAGATGAATAATTTTTTTTTATTCCTTCGGGTTCTCCACTGGACCATAGGGCTTCAAGCTACAGGCTTGAAGTTTCTGTAGCAGTGTTTATTTTTACAGGATGGGGTTGCTAGCCTCATGCCCAACCTTTCCTCTTCACCACCATTTTTTCTGGCCTAGTGAGGTAAAGGAGTGCGCCGGCCGGGGATCGAACCCCGGACCATGTGCATGGTCGGCGAGCGTCCTAACCACTATGCCACCGACGCACAAGATGAAAAATAGTCCTAAAAAATGATAGGTATATTTATATTGACAATGGTTATTGATAAAATTTAAGAGACATACATACCTATTATCTTATCTAGATGTATCCATCTGTGCAAACTTGAATTCTGGTTAATTTTAATCTTTGAAGTGACGTCATAGTCAAGTGATCGAACAGTATTAGAGTACATGAGAATGAACTAGCCATTTTCCACTGCATCATTGAAAGATTGCACATTACGCTTAAAACACCATTCAAAACAGACTTCAATCAGCAGAAATCTGTCACATAGAATAACACCTTATCGTGTTAGTTAGTCTTATTCAACACTGCGAAGACAAAAATTAACTAAAATTAAAATTCAGTAGTCTGACTGCACAAAGAGTCAAGGAGAGAGATTTTCAAATTGGATTTTATCACGCACCGACAGCAGTTCTAGATAATCATTAAAAACCCCTGTGAAGTACTAGACAACTGTTTCGTACAGGGCTGAGACTCTTCAGAAGTACACACTCATGACACAGAAACTGGAGATCGAATTCAGGACCCTCAGGTTATAAGGTGCAATTCAGTTGGAAGGCAACAGTGCATAAACTCTAACTTCTGACGTTGGTTCACAACAAAATCTAGAGAAAGATTTCATTATTTTAGAGGCAAACATTATAACTTTATTGATAGATTGTAGTAAACTTTCCTAGAGGAAAAAGTACTTCCTAACCTTGAACACAGCCTGAGTATTAAGACTTTTTTAGACTTGATTACGGATTGACACCAGTTAGAGAACCATTGAAAACTAGCAGGGAGTACTGGGCAGTTGTTTCATCCCAGTTTGGGAATCAGTGAGGTGCATCCAGATGTCATTTACGACATTGGTTTGGGGTCGCGCTAAATCCCGAATTGGTAGAAGTCAGAATTCATGAGCCATTGAATCGGGTCCTAGTGGCTGAATGGTATACGAGCTTGCCTTGTAACCGGAAGGTCCTAGATTTGAACCCTGGCAGTGGGTGCTTACTGCCGATGATTCCCAAACTAGGGTGAAACAGCTGATTGTTCAGTACTCTCTGCTAGTTTTCAACTGTTCTCTTACTGATATCAATCCGTGATCAAACTCGTAAACACAAATCTAATCCTTACAAACCAACTATAGAATATTAAGACTTTCTTTCTAATCTTAAACAAGCTACTTCATTATTTTCACACTGTTTAACTACGTAGCCATATTTCAGCCTAATTGATGAACATTAGATATGCTAAATTCACCATACCATCCGGTAGCCGAATGGTTAGTCGAACTCTTACAGCCCCTTCATACTGAGTTGGTGAGACATAGTGTAAAGGATACTTTTGGATTCGTTGAAAGGATAAGAGATTTAAATGGTGATAATAAATTCATGATATCATTTGACGTATCCTCTTTATTCACTAATGTACCTGTCATGCAAACAGTGGACTTTATATGCGAAGAACTCAAAAGACAAAACATCGATGTTTGCATTCCTATATCTTTTATGAAAGAGCTTCTCTTGAAATGTACAATGAATGTCCACTTTTTATTTAATAAGGAACTGTATAGACAAATCGACGGTGTGGCAATGGGGTCGCCACTAGGACCCATTCTAGCCTACATTTTCCTTGCGAAACTAGAAAATGGGCCTTTGAAGGATGTTATTAATGAACTCGAATTTTATTGTCGGTACATGGATGATACATTTTTGATTATGAAGAACGAAAAGGAAGCAAAGAACATCCTGGATAAATTTAATGAGGTACATCCTGCAATAAATTTTACTACTGAGAAAGAAAGAGACTCTAGTCTTTCATTTTTAGACGTCCTTACGACCAGAAAAGAGGATGGCACAATAAGAAGAAGAGTTTATAGAAAACCTACATCAACGGGCCAGCACACACATTATCTCAGCTTTGTGCCCTTGAAATACAAACGCAATCTAATAAAATGCTTGGTCCACAGAACAAGAGATATTTGCTCGGATGAATGTCTTGACGAGGAACTTAACAATATTAAACGGTTGCTAAGTGAGAATGGTCATCCCGAAAAGTTTATTGATGAGAATATGAATCGGAAACCAAAACAGCCCAAGTTACCAACAGTTCCAAAAGATGCCTTGTTCTTACAGATGCAGTTCCTAGGAGACAACACCAGTGAGATACTAACACAGCGCCTTAGAAATGCGGTAAAAAGAGCATTCCCTGCTGCTGAATTACGTTGTATCTTTTAAACCACTCCTCTTCTGCGTTCGAGAATAAAAGACAAACTGCCTAATTTCACCTCTTCCATGTTTATCTACCAATTTAACTGCTCCTGTGGAGCCAGTTACATAGGCCGTACAATTAGGCGTGTTTCGCGTCGAATTTCCGAACATCACCCTGCATCGCTGGTTAAGCAAAGGACAAACAAAATCTATTCGCAGTGCTATTCTATCACATCTTGTGGAGACAGAACACAAGATTGACGTAAACCATGCTTTCAGGGTCATTTACCGCATACCTACGAATCTCAATTTCGCTTTAAGAGTTCGACTACTAAATATTGCTGAGGCTTTCGGGATCCATATTAAGAAGCCTAATTTGTGCGTCCAGAAGAAGCTAGTTCAGACATTGTCCTTACCTTGGCCATCTAGGTTCGAATGATCCCCAACTTTTTGTAGAAATTTCCTAATTTTAGTTGATATTCTATTTGTTATTATATTTTTATTATTATTATAATTTAAGCATCTTTAATGAACTGTAATAGCATTGATCATACTTTACAAATCGATATTATTTAAAAAACACTAATATTGTTATTAACTACTAATTTAAATTATTCTATGTATATAAACATGCATATATAATTGTAGAGCCTGGAAGAGGAATTTATCGAAAAGAATATTCTTTGCTCGATTATTTTGTGTTTTATAGATGTCTGAATGAATATTTTTGGCTATATTGAAAACTGATAGTGTTGAATTCACTTTTTGTTTATTCCTTCTTTTGAAAAAAAACAAACTAACTAACTCTTTTACAGACTGTGGAAAAAGTCCTGTTAGCTTATGCAGATCGTGTATTAGCCGATTTTCCAATGTATAAATCAGATCAACGTGTTGCATGTATCCTAGTGAATAATACTCAACAACTTCGAGTACAACTGGAAAAAGTTTATGAGAATATGGCACGTGAAAGGTTGGTTGGTTGGTTAAATTTTATTTTTATTAAAATTTTAAATAAATAAATATTCAAATTTATTGTTGGAAACTCAAAAACAAAACAGTTTGAGCAGGATACGATGATATTCCTATTCTATTTCGTCAATGTTTCGCCAGTTTGATACAACCTAGAAAGAATTTATTTATAATTTTTTTATCCCTGTACGTTCCTCAGTGGAACATAGGGCTTCAAGCTAGAGGCTTGAAGTTTCTGTAGCACTGGTGATTGCTTTTACAGGATGGGGTTGCTAGCCTCATGCCCAGCCTTCCCTATTTATGAAACTTCATTTTTACTGGCCTAGCGAGGTAAAGGAGTGTGTTGGTGGCTGGGGATCGATCCCCGGATCACTTGAGTGGTTGACGAGCACTCTACCTCTGTGCCACTGACGCATATATTTACAATTATATGCACAGAACAATTTTTAAACACATCTCCAAGAGTAACATGATATCAGTTAACAGGGGACTTCAGAACTGATAAAACTTATACATCGAAGGTACAATTTTAGACAGAAATTATTCCAAAACTTTGAAATAGGACTTGGGTAAGCAAGACAAGAGATGGGAAAGTTGGTTCCTGTTTATTGGACAACAGCATGCTCTTTGCTGCAACCATAGATTGACAGATACCCTTCACGTGTTAACTCTAACTAGGTAAACAAATTTACATGTATCTACGGTAGCAGTTACATTCGGAGAACAGAAAGTTGGGCACATCTTCGATTCTCTAAATACACACCAAAAAGCCTAAGTATGTCGAAAAATCTCTGTACCTGTTATCATATTATTTGCTGCTTGAGTTATGAGTGAAATGTAAAGCTTTAGCAGGACATACCCATTTCAATACATTCTCTAGTATCATTTCCATTGGGCTCCACTGATAACTACCGACTTTTATTTTTGTTTTCTCCATGTCACCTTTCGACACTTGACCTGTCATTTCCCTTAGTTAAACGTTTTTGTTCATTCACTTCTGTTGTGAGTGATATAGATGCTTTGACCCACATATTTAGTTGGATATTCACCACAAGGAATTTTTGTAAATTACATTACTATTTCTCATCAATCACTTTTATTGGATTGATTTGTTCTATTTCTAATTAGATTCTTTAATTTAAAAGGGGATAATAATGTAATACTTCTCAAGTTTCTTCGAAGTGCCTCTGATGCACAATTTTTGTGTGGTATTTCGGCCGTTCTTCTTCAATCCTCTATCTTTCCGTTCTCTGAGAAATTCTTCTGGGTAGTAATTATCAAGTAACATTCTGAATAGGACATTTATTTTGTTACACTGGTCATTTGGTGTTGTTGTAAGTCCACATATTCTGTCAGCAAAACCTTGTACTAATCCTCGTTTTACTCTAAGTGGATTAGCCGAGTGACAATCAAGGAATCTTCCAGAATGTGTAGTTTCTTATATATATATCCTCATTTTTATGCTGCTGTTAGTCTTTGTACTTTACAGTTAAGCATAGGTGTTTCTCTGAATCTATTCTCTATTTTCTTATTTACGGTGAATTTTATTGAGTTTACATGACTGTCTGCGTGTGTTGAAGAATTTCACTATATCATTCTTTTTTTATTATTACTAGTCTGTCATCTGCATATGTCTACTATTATTTTATTGATGATATGAATGACTTAGGTATATTTTCTTTTGCGAAACTCCATGAATACATCACTCACCACTTATACAACTGCATATTTTCAAAAGAATGCTTACTGAACAAATGGTTCTACAGTTATATACATACATAATAGTGAATGAATAGATGTCATTAACAACATTAATGCTGTGATAGTGATTCGGATATGAACACAATAATAACTCAATTCACTGAAGTACATTCTGTTATGAAATTCACGTGCGAAGAGGAATCCTAAATTAGAATTACCTTGCTAGACGTCCTCCTTACAAGAAAACCAGATGGTAGTATAAAGAGATATTTGCATAGAAAAAAAGTACACGGTCAGAACAATATACACACATTTCCACAGCTTCGTTCCTCTCAAGTACAAGAGAAATTTAGTAAGGAACTTCAGCCACAGGGTTAGAGCTATATGCTCGCAAGAAGTAACTGAAGATGAACTTAGGATTTTACATGACACCCTAAGAAACACATGACACAGAAAGCAGAAAAGGACTACTCACTATCCGTAAACAAAAAGCTTTTATGAATATATGACTGCAATTCAAGGGCGATATATCTAGCGAAATAATTACGAAGAAATTAAGAAAATCAGTTCAAAGAACTTTTAATGTTGGCAAACTACAAGTCTTATTTCCTACACGACTGGTTGTGATTCGGTGATTGAGAGATGAAGTACCTAGACTACCTAGCCACTTCCAATTGTATCTACCAATTCAACCGCGCCTGTGGAGCGGGTCATATTGGTCACTGCTCTAGGAACTTGATTTTTCGTGCTCGCTTGGGAACATCTCCCACTATGGCTAAGTAAAGGTGTAGTAAACCACCCGGTCCAAACCTGTCACAAAGCCAGCATTGAAGAATCCTTCTCTATCATCATCAACCAGGTACCAAATAAACTGCCAAAAATAACGAGTTACCACATGCTCCAAACGACAGAGGCTATCGCAATTCACGTGAAACAACCAGTGCTTTGTGTGCATAGGAAACAAGTTCAGCCACTACTACTGCCCTGGATGGCCTTCAGTAGAGACTATATATTCATGAATTCATTAAATACTGCTCTTTTGTTTGTTGACAATTGTTGTCTATCTTAATCTGACTAACTTGTCAAAGAATTTTTCTTCACTTTCATCAACAGGTAATTTTAAACGCCTAATTTCTTTTCATAATTAACACACAATTAAATAACGAATCAGCCAATTTTCATTTCTTTTCATCATTTCAGTCTTGAATCGAACACTCGAGATCGTCTGAGTGCCCTTCAAGGTCGGCTAAATGAAGTTGTTGATAAATTGGCAGTTCAGTTGACAGATCAATTTGAAGCTGGTGTACATTCACATGCACGAGAATGTGGTAGGCTATTACAAAAAGTAAGTGATATCTCTTCAGTTGTATTATTGATTATTCAATGTTTCAATGTTAACATTTGTTTTAATAAATATGGTCAATGGTTAGGCATTATACATTGAGTCAATTATTATCTTTAACACTATCATTGAAATCTGATATTTTATTTACAAGTTTAAGTTCTTCTGAGAATGAAATTCTATGCTTGTGTATGCGTGTATTTATGAGTTTGAATGCTTTAATGATTCAGTCAATTAATAACACATTGAGACCGGTTTAACAGTCTCTTCACTCGTGAAAGTCAACTAGCGTTTATGAAAAACCAACGCATTCCGCTAATAGATTTTTAGACTTAGGGCTTAGTTAAGTGTCTAACAAACCGAGCTGTAGCACTAAGTAGTACAAGAAAAGACCAAAAAAATGATGAAATAAAACTGATAGAAGAGGTGTTGGTATCCAATGACTATTCTATAAAATTCGTTAGGAATATCAGAAAAGGCCAAAAGCGAAATAAAAATAATAGTGAAACTAATAATGATCACATAAATAAGAGAGAATATAAGTCACCTGCTGTTATACCATATAAGGAAAGGACATCTGAGGCCCTATGTGGTAGGATTCTTAATGAAGCAGGAATTAGAGTGGCATTCAAACCTACAAACTTACTCAGTTAGGACGAGCTCTGTAGGTTGAAGGATCCTGTAGGTTGACCCAAATGGACAAAATAATACAATTTACAAAATACCTTGCAATGACTGTGTGTGAGGTCAACTACATAGATCAAACTAGTAGGTTGGGGGTAGTCAGATTGTCAGAACATAAGAATTTAGCTAAGTTTAGAATGGTTAACCCTGAGAAGATGAGTAATTCAGAAAACATAATCCTACCAAAGATTAAACCCAAGATTCAGATACGTTACGTAGACGACACATCTGTAATAATCAAAAGAAACGAGTTAGATAAGGCTCACAACCTGATAAACAACGTCTTCAACGACATCAAATTCACAAGAGAAGAGAAATCCGAGAACAGAATCCCATTTTTGGACGTCTTAGTCAAGCGAACAACCACAGGGGAATTAGAAACTCAAGTTTGTGGAAAATCAACTCACACAGAACAAATACTGAATTACAACAGCAACAATCCAATAACACACAAAATGAAACTGTATACAAACACTATTCAAGAGGGACAGGACTCATTGCAGTACTCCCACCTTAAGGAAAATTGAAGAAAGATATCTCATGGACGTCTTCCAAAAGAATGGATATCCCCGGAATTTCATCAAAAGATATATACCCCCAAGCCAACCTGTCAAACCAAAGACCCCCAATGAAAGCACAAAGAAAACCGCCCTGCCACACATAAAGGACATCTCAGAAATCACTGCAAGACTCTTCAAACCTTAAGGAATTGACGTCGTACACAAACCAACAAAATCACTTCACTCAGTTCTATGTAAACCAAAAGACTTAACAACGAAAGAAGATAAAACCAACATCATCTACAAAATAAATTGTAACAGCTGCAAAAAACACTACTTTCGCCAAAGTGGACGTCCTCTTCGTCTGCGTATCCACGAACATAAGCTGGCCGTCAAAAGACATGATATCCACTCCCTCATATCACTACATACAGACAACCACGGACATCAATTCGACTGGGACAACGTTCAAATATTAGACAGAGGAAACAACAAGAATGCTGGAGAATTTTTAGAAGCTTAGCATTCCAGTGAATCATCAATCAATAGACACATTGAGATAGACAAAATTTATCAACCGATAAGAAAGAAACCTCACACACAAAGGGTCAAAGTTCAAGTCAAAGAAACAATGAATTACAATGCAAATAACCTAGAAAGTGTGAAAACACACAAAAAGAACCAATCACATCCAAGGTCACCGGGAGAGATGATTAATAAACTCGTGGAGAAATCTAAAAGCTCACTTCAAATTGAAGTATGCGCTGAAGATGTTGCCTAGCAGGGCTATGAAAGCTTCGCAAATTAACTATCCAGCTCAGATAACACAACCGCATCAAAATAACTATTCTTATACCCAACTGGGAGGATGCCATATACTAAAACCACTCATTAGGAATTGCAAAAGTCCCTCCACTCCGAAGTTAGTTACCAATATAAAGTAAATTACTATTCATATTGTTAGATCTACAAAACAAGAAGAAACCACTATCAACTACTCCCTGGCTTCCAGTGTCTCACTAAATAATATCTGTTCATGAAACTTATTAAATTTAGCAAATTTAACACCTGAATATCAATAAGATTACAAGGAAGGTTCATCAGAACACTTTTCTAAACTTCTCTATATAACTGACAGAAGGCTAGTACAGGAACCTACAAAAATAAGAAACATCTAACCATGAGACAGTATTCGAATTGTAGATATTAATAGTGGCAGATACTCATAGAAGAGTCCACCTATACTAATCTGCTAAACTGAACACACTTGCAAAATAAAAGGAGACAATAGACTTAAAGTCCTCAAAGTTAATATAACACAGTGAGAAAAGTGAAACCAATAGTTGAGACTTCGCCTACCGAATCACTGTTAAACGACTAAACACCTATTGCAGGGATTCAATTGATTTCAGGTTGAATGATACAATGACATTACCTACACAGCCAATGAAAACAAGGGAATGCTAGAGAACTACTTCGTCCTAGTTGAGAGCTGTTCGCTAGTACTTACCTATGACCATAATGTTACTCTGGCAAGCATGTTGTCATTCAGTCGCTGCAGTAGAATTCAATGGTCCATGTACTCTAACCTCTGCCAGTTCACAATAATGTGGCGCCGCAACCAGCCAGTGCTCTTGGCGAGTATCAACCCTCACACCCAACCTGCTAAAACCCACTGGTCATGATTTCCCATTAGAAACCAGATAACCACCTACCTAGGAGTACAGCAGATTGGGTTTGGGGAGAATTACTCACCACTGACTGACATCGGCTAGTGTCAGTCATGCCATATCATGAATTCGCAGAAGTTAGAACTCATGGGCTGGCCAGTGAATCGACTCTCAGTGGCTTAATGGTCTGTGAGCTCGCTTGCCTTTTAACCAGAGGGTCCTGTACTCGAACCCTGTCAGTGGGGTGGCTGTGCAGTGCTGAAGAGTCTCAATAGACTAGGATGAAACAGCTGTACTCCCAGGTTCTCCAGTGGTTCTCTAACCGATATCAATCAGTTCATGATGAAATTCTAAAACCAATCAAATCTCTGCGAACCAACACTTGGATTACTACCATAAACAATAAATTGTGTCCCGGAACGTTGCTTACTTGTTCACCAATACTCCTTCATGTTGGTGTGTATCTAACACGCTAAATAGCATAACATTTAAGCACCTTCATCATGCAATGCCTTATAGTTTTATTGAAAAGTTTTCTGGGGATTGATTACTTTACTAGTTTTTCACAGAGAAACTTCGACACTCAAAGAACCATACTTAGTCAGCCAACCCTTTATGGTGTTTCGCTATATGTTGCTGTCATAACCCCATGTATTAAAATATACTGATGCAGACAATCCCTTTGTGTGAGGACTGTTATCCGCTAATAGTTTCGTTCAGTAACTTTGCCGTATACTGTAAATCCATGAAAAATAAGGTAACATAAATTACTGATTCCTTATCAAAAATGATAAAGTGTTCCTTTTTGAGGCAGTGATGTTTCTAAGGCTGACTCACATTTCATGCAGTCGTGATAGGGTACTCTTTATGTCCCCTGATTTGTGCAACTCGATTGAAGACCGAATAGCAGATAATGAATACTAATGATTTCAGTCCCCTTAGCCTAGGAAAATGAGGTAGACGACAGGCTAGTCTGAGCCAGTGAGAATGATTCACGTTAACAGACAAAAATACTTCATTAATCTGTACACTACAAATACTCCGAAATAAATTAAAAATCCCCACTGAGACATTTTTATTCCTTTACTTTCCCAGTGGAACATAGGGCTTCAAACTAGAGGCTTGAAGTTTCGGTAGCAGTCGTGTTTACTTTTATGGGATGAGGTTGCTAGCTTCGTTCCCAACCTTCCCTCTTTATCAGTCTTCTTTTTTACTGGCTTGGCGAGGTGAAGGAGTGCGTCGGTGGCCGGGGATCGAACCCCGCACCACCTGCGTGGTCGGTGAGCACCCTACCGCTATGCCACCAACGCACCCATTGGACATAAATACAAACAATTCAGTGAAGAAAATTCTCTTTTCCACGATTTCATTTTCATAGCTGTACAATCGTATATATCTGTGAATTACAATAGATGATAACAATCAGTTTACTTGTTTGTGTTTGTGTATGTGTTGGAGTTTGATAGTGGGGATTATGAGTCACGGTTGACTAGATATATGAATGAACCTAGAGTTCAACAGACGTGTGTGAAGTAGATGATCGGAAAATAAATTGCATTCGAGTCCTCAACTGTAGACAGTTGTAAAGATTTCCAAGTATTGATTTTCTATGGATTTTCTCTCACTGGATGGGGGATTTCATCATGAGCTGACACCAGCTAGAGAACAACTGGAAAACCTGGAGGTTTTCCAATGGACAAAACAGCTGTCCAGTACTCCCGGGTGGCTTTTCATTGGTTCTCTAACTGATGTCAGCTCATGATGAAATCCTCCAACCAATGAAACAAAATCCCTACAAAACTAATACTTGAAAATTAATCTGATCCTCACTAGAGACTGGCCTATTCAAGCAGTTAGCCTGGGGTTCTAGAGGGAAGCTTTGACCAGTAGGGTACAGCAGTAACTCATCGAAGAAGATATTGCGAAATGGTCGCGCTATGTCGTGAATTGGCAGAAGGTAGAATTCACCAGCTGGCCATTGGATCGGGTCCCAGTGGCTCAATGGTCTACGAGCTCACCTTGTAACCAGAAGGTCTTGAGCTGGAACCCTGTTGGCGAGTGCATACTGATGAAGAGTCCCAAGACAGGAAGAAACAGCTGTCCAGTTGTAAAGATATTGCATAGTTAATATATCTCCCAGAATTGAGATGGACTTTTCACGAATGCAGCCTCATTTATACCGTATAAAGTGAAGGTAAATGTCAGTACAAAATTTGTTATGGAAGTGTAACTTATGTAGCCTTTTGTTGTTGTGACGAACTCACAACTCACTACATAGAGTGGCTGTCTTATCAATTTCTGACGTGGCTTCATTAACATATATACACACTTCTTTACTGATAGAATTCACATCGTGTGCTGCTCACTCAACAGACGTAATAGCTTCTTTTTCTATGTTCTTCTCTCTCTCTATTCTCCCACCTGCAGTGTAAGCCATCATCAAGTAGTTCAGATAGTTCAGGTGGTCGTGGTGTCAATAAAGAAGATGAAGCAAATGAATGTTTACAACCCTTAATGGATCATTTCGAATCGATTCTTTCTATCCTGGCAAATATTTGTGACAAAACTGTTTTGAAAAGAGTGTTGAAAGTAAGTCAATAACCATGGCTATATATTCTACAAAGAGTAACTGATTAAGAAAAATTCAGTTTTTAATAACAGATGTTTTATTGTCATAAGAACAAAGTGCAAACAGCGAAAAAAATTTGTCTTCTCGACGATTCATTTTCATGAGCTGTATAATCGTAGTTATATTTAGCAAAGAAACCTTTAGACCAATCAGATACTGGTAACCTTTGCCGTCGAAAATTATATTACGTAATGTAAGGTTACTTCATTCACTTATCTAGGGAGCATTGTTTCAACTACAGGAGGAACCGACAGACGAGGATGTCAAATCGAGAATCGGGAAGGCGAGAAACACATTCATCAACCTGGAACCAATCTGGAAATCTTCGTCACTCAGCATCAACAACAAAATTCGGATTTTCAATACAAACGTCAAGTCAGTCAGTTCTTCTATACGTATGGATCAGAAACTTGGCGGGTCACAAAGAATATTTCCAACAGCCTGTTGCAGACCTTTACCAACAACTGTCTTCGCTGGCTCTATACTGAAGATCAGATGGCCGGAAAGAATCACCAACAAGAAACTGTGGGAGCAAACAAAACAAGAACCAATCGCCCAACAAATATGCAGGAGAAAGTGGAGATGGAATGGATACTAGCTGAGGAGGCCGTTGGGTGACATCGCACGTCAGGCAAGTGCTCGAGTGGAACCCAAAAAGGAAGTGGTGAGTGGGACGTCCAAGGGTGACATGGAGGAGATCGTGTGAAGAGGAGTTGAAACAGTATGGAATAACATGGATGCAAGTGAAAAGTACAGCAGAAGACGGAAGCAAGTGGAGACGTGCAGTTGAAGCCCTATGTTCCACTAGGAACCCAAGGGAACAATAATAATAAGGTGTAACCTAGATGGATGACTAATTGTATGTTGGAAAAGAGGCAGAAGTTGGCATGATGTAATAAGTGTGAGATAATGACTAATCAATAAGCTCGTTTAGAATAGACTGGAACCCGTGGAAAGGCGATCGAGTGTTTTTATATAAAATCTGTATGAAAAAGCATTGCTATTAATTTTTATTAAATTATCTCCTCAAAACCTTCAATGCAGCGTATCCATCAATAAAATTCACCTTAGAACGGGAATCGAACATGGCATTTCCATTCCTCTATGTACTACTTACCAGAAGACAAAACTTTACGATCTAAAGATCGGTATATCGCAAGCCAACATGGACGGGATAGTTTATCAACTTCCAGAGCTTCGTCCCACTGTTCCGAAAGCGAAATCTGGTACGTACATTAAGTTCAAGGACTAGAAAAATCTGTTCGGAAGATAGGATAGAGAAAGAGTTAAATTTATTACGTGAAGCCCTACTAGAGAATGAGTATCCACCAAGATTCATAGAAAAAGGCATGAAGGAAAAGCCTCCGTCGACAGAAGTCACAACTGTTCCTCAGCAAACCACTTTGAGTGATTTACCTTCAAGGTTGGGTGAAGGTATGGGCTCCTACCAATCTTGCAAACAGTACTTCCCACTTAGACGGCGCAAAGCACATACCACACTTACAAACACTGATTGCCAACTGATAAGTGTGATTTGGGCAGCCTGCATGATATTGCACAGTAAGACGATATCGTCTCCAAACTAGAGGTCGAAAATTCTTACTCTAGGAAGCAGATCTACAACATCATCACTACTCACTTCCTTCAGAGTTGACTGCATAATGTCACTGATGGTAAAGCTAAAGAGGGTTGGAGAGATTAGCCAACCCACTCTAGCCCCACTGTTGGTTGGCAACAATGATGATAACTGATTATTTGGCCTCACTCTACCTGAAGTATTTCTGTATAGGGCTTTCATGATGTTAACAAACTTCTCAAGTACTCCAGTCTCTAAGAGACAGTTCCAGAGCACAGTTCTGTCCAACGAATCAAGGGCAACCCTCATATCAAGAAACTCAACGGTTGTTAGTCTAAAATACGAGTGGCGGTCTTCCAACAACAGATAAAGGATGAAAACGTGGTCAATGCATCCACAGCCTGGTGAATCAACTCCCCAAGTATTTTGCACAGCCTACGAAACCAGATGGTGGCCAATATTTTAGACGCGGCTGGTAGCAAACTAATATCCCTGTTGTTGTCACAACTGTTACTCTGGCCCTTTCTAAAAATGAGGACGACCATGGCTTCATTCCACATCGATGGAATATCCTCACTTTCATATACTTCCCTGAACGGACCGGTCGAAGCCATAAAGAGAATCTCACCACCATCTTTAAGAAGAGCTGGAGGTACATTGGCCTGGTGCCTTTTGACCCTCTGACAACTGAAGTTCCTCTCGGACCTCCGCGTTGTTTTGGTGCGCCTGTATTGACTGACCAAGGAATAGTGTAACTGATGACGGTAGGTGCTTGCGCTGACATCCAGCTAAACTGCTTCTTAAGGTGCTCTGCCCAGCATTCTAGCAATTTTTTCAGGCTGGTAATTGGCGTGCCATCTGCTTTAGAGTCCGTCTCGCTAACGTCCTGCTTCTTCCTGCTGGTGGTTCGTATGAGCTGGAATGGCTCTCGGCTGTTGCCAGACGCAGCTTCTGATTCTATCTCACATGTATGTCCTGGCTACGAGGCTGTCTGTCATTACGTAAGCACAGTTTAATATTGAGCGCAAGCTTCTTTTGCACGTTGTTGTACTCGCCCCCTGCAGAAATGGACCTACATTCATCCAGGAGTTGCAACTAACTCCCAGAAACTCAGTGGTTTTAGTGGAGCATTCTATTAAGCTGCAAATGACTTCACTCACTATTTCCATGCCACCTTACAGATGTAGCCAATGTCCATCGATACTGATCAGAGGGTCTTATAGTTAGCTTTGATTGTAGCCCAATGTGGTACTTCAAAGAAGTAACAGGTGCTACCAGTTTGCTCAATTCAACTTGTAAAGGACGCCATTTATAAATCCCACAAAATCTCAAAACGAACCTGCCACATTTTAAAACATTATTTGAGTTCAGACATGCGCTCCAGAAGGATCTGAACTTCTGTATGCATCCGCATCATCGGAAACTGATAGGGATATAATCAATCTGAGTCCAGGCTTGATTAGTAGATGGAGGACTCCAGGTAGCTCTACGGCAATGGCTGAGCTGGGAGCTGGTGCTAGCTGATCAAGGCTTCAGAAGACGGTCCTCATTATCTGACCTGCGACCATGTAAACCCCACTGACTACCTAGACGACTCTCCGTAGTGATTAGACACCCAACCTGTGCATTCAAGTCCCCGGCTAGTACTGCGATATCTCTGATGTGCCTGTTTCAGGAGATCTCTCACTTGGTAGTAAAACCCATCCTTAATTTCACCCGGGCTGCAATTCGTCGGTGCATAGATAGGTACTACCTATCTGGTCTACCACTCCTTACTCTCGTATAACCTTTCAGCATCACAGCAAATAAACGGCTGTCAGTGGGGATCCAGTTGAGTAATGCAGCTTCGGCTCTAGTGCTTAGTGCGACAGTGACACCGGCTACTCTGGATGCCAACGCCACGAGGCCTCCGAACAAGTGCTGGTGGTACATACTATTAGAACTTACAGATGGAGAAGATATTCAAAGCACTTCATTGGGGTCTTTGAATACGGGTCTCCAAAATGTATCAGACATCGATAGCAGGGCTTTCTAATGCTCTTGCCAGACCTGCCTGTTGCCCAATTTGCATCAGTGTCCGAACATTGTAGGTAGCTAGCTTCAGGATATCTGTGTTAGACATGGCACTGTGGTCTAGCATTTTGGGGACTACTCACTTATATCTAGAAACGGCACAAATAGACTGAGTGTTCGGAAAGGGGCAAGAGGCTGACGGAAGTGAAGACACCAAGGACAGTAAAATAAAACGTAAAAGTCTATGTTCGCGAATGTCAGAGTGCAATTATAGTCCATCATGAGTTATTGTTTCATTGTTAGTCCGAGGGATGGGATACTGACCAAACACTCAGACATAAGTAGGTGGTTGTCCTAAGTGACTAGCTCCTGAGCCTTTGACTTGGAGTCTCATACACAAGGCAGCGTAGCAGCATCATGAACTGCGTTCCCATGGTTGACGATGACCAATACAAGTTCATACGCTATTTGATCTGTCTAGATTCTGTAGTCCATGCATCTTATACCATCTGCTTTTAATCTGGCCATTATCCAAAAAACCTTCCAGGCATGGTAGGACCTACAGAAACATAAATCCAAGCCAGTGTAGCTTGTTGGCTCACTGCCTTATACAAACCCGACCACCACGACAAGTTAGCATTTATTGGCCGGGGATGTTGTTATTACGGAGCGGAATTGCTAGACTGACCGACCTCCCTTCTTTTTCAGTTCTACTACTTGTTAGGCAAAGTTTAATAAGGCATCAGTCAGAAATAGAACATTGACCTCCTGAGTGGCTGCCGAGCATCCTGCCACTGAATCATTAATACTTAAATGCAATGAAATGGCGTTTTTCACTATCCCTCCTCCCCTCTTGTCCCTATATATGAATATATATATCTACATGAAGATCTATTTACTATCTCTTTGTGTATTTATTATTATTATTGTTATTATTATGATCAGTTGTAATTGGCTTACCACATGCCTACTTTCTTTTTTATACAGCAACTATGGAGAGTGACAATGTGTAATCTAGAAAAACTTGTAGTCCTACCAGCAGTTACAGATCAAAAACAAGTAAGTATAAGATGTTGAAGTCTTGTTTCTTTTTTTGCATAATCATTATCAAAAGTTTGAAATGGATTCCGGTTATTTCAAATGAGATATATTCACCATGGAGAAAGATGGTTAGATAATTGTACGCTTTTATAGAAAGGAGTAATGGTTAGAATATCATAATTATTGCTGGATGTATTGGGATGGTGTAGATTTTAGCAACACTAAGTGAGAACATATATAATAGTGAGTGTGAAAGTAAACCAATATATTGGATATGTCCAAACCAAGTTCACTTTTAACGGTTTTAAAAAAATTTGGGCGTTGGGTATATGATATTCATTATAATGAAGGTTTTCTTGTATTTCCCAATGAATGAAAAATAAAACGATGTTGTTTTTACTGACGTTTCGCTATTTAACCCCAATAATAGCTGTATCAGAGTAGCATTATTAAACTAGAATGTACAAAATCTCAGCACATATATAACAACTTAATCATCGTTGCTCAGCATGGGGTGATTTATGCGTTGTCAAACTGGCCAATTGATAAAGATAACAAAACCAGGTGTAGATTGGTGAATTTGGTAACTGTGAAAAAATGTAAAAGCAGGATGTGTTTACATGAAGTAATTCCTTAGCACATTCATGTTGATTTTGTCATTTCATGGGAGAGGGGAGTGTTGTAAACAGGTCAAATTCTGTTTTAGTCCGTCATTCCTATTCAGACAATTTGGATTCCACTTGATATGAAATGCTTCTGATATTAGACGTTCTTTGTGATTGCAATATTGTCAAAATCAATTTTGTGGCCTGATTCTATAGGTTGTAGCCCTATGGCCTATGATTTTTCAAACTTTTCTGGTTCAACGGGATTTCTCGGTGGTCGAAGAGATGCTCTACGGTGTTCATTTCTTGTGATTTTGATCTCTCATGATGTTTGTCTGATGTATATCGCATCACATTCCAAGCATTTTATTTTATAGACACAATTAGATAGAGAATCTTTAGTGATTTGGTCTTTTATATAGACAAGGTTGCTTAGCAGTGTATCTGATGTTTTAAAGAAAACTCTGATGTCCAGCTTATTGAGTACTCTTCTTCTATCGTCTGATGTTTCCGTTCTATGTGGAAGGACAACCAATATATCTTGACAATTTTATCAATGCTGCATTTATGGCTGAAATATAGAGCTTTATGTCAGATGAATAGTTTAGATGCTTAAATGTTCCGAAGGTTGCTTCTAGTCAATTTTTTAGAAATTCGGCTATTTAGTCGTGGTTTTGGATTGATGAAATCCACAAAGTACCTAACTAATAACCACCAGGTTATGGAGTGAGCATGCCACCATTCATTCATTGGGTTCTACTCAAACAGTCTATTAGTTCTAACTTCTGTCAGTTCGTGATATATAGCCATCGCTATCGAATTTCATAGTATCTGTTCTCACAACTGACTTGACAGGGCAACCCCCGATCATGACTTCTCAAGTGAACTCAAGGAATCCCATTACATAGGTATTAAAACGTCGGATTCATGGGTTTATGTCAAAATCTAACTGGAAACTATCCCTATACGAAAATACCCAACATTTGGAAACTAACCTAGGAGTTTATTCGATGTATTCTACAAATGAAGATTGTAAAAAGAAATTAGATTTTAAAATTTACGCAATAAGCTTTCCAGAACTCGTGTGGTTGTGGTGTACTGACTCAGCTTCCTTAATTGGGTCAAATTGGATATATCACTGATGAACTCTGCCCCGAATGGCCGAAATGGTCATCCGGTGTTTAGATCGTTTTGATCTAATGATCTAGCAAGCATCACTGTCTGATATGAGTGATTTCCAAATATTTATATCAATCTGTTATTAGTCGAATATCCCACAATGATATTCAGTTGACTTCTAGTACACATGTCTAATTAATGTCAGTTGAGTAGATTGAAAATCCCCATTGAGTCATATGAAAAAGAGAAGACATTCAGCGAAGAGACTCTTTCCGGCGAATTCATTCACATAGCTGTAAAATCGCATTTATATATAAATATTTGTGTGTGTG